TCTACCTAATATTGGAGGTACCTAAAAGGAGGTTTATTAAATTACCAATAGGACATTCTCCATTAAACAAATTTATTGGCACTAAAGGCATTGATGAATTAACAAAAAATTCTTCAAGTAATTGAATACATTTATTTAAATTATTGGGAGTACTAAAATTAAATTAATTAAATATTTATTTTAAAACTATTCACTTTTCTGTTCCAGTTGTAAAATTTTGTGTAATTTTGGTTAAATTATAAAATTGTGATTGAGACCCCCAATTAATATTTGGACATTTCTGGCCAATTAAATTTAATAAAAATGGTCTTAAAAATTAATTGGATCTAAATAAAATTTAATTAAAATTACCTAATTGACTTGATTAAATTTTTTACACAAATAATATTTTTATTATTTGTTGTAGTAGACCAAGTAGGTAATAATTCAATAGAAATTGTTATTGGAGGACTAAAAATAAATGACTATTTTTTTTAATTAGGGTATTCAGGGGTTAGTTAGGGGTAGGAATTTTAATTTTTATGAGTTTGGAGCACGATAAAATTGTGGTAAAATAAATAAGTACGTTCCCAAACTGCCGCGGTAATTTTAAAAGATCCAAAAATATAGGAAAATTTTCATCGAAATTTAAAAATACATTTATTGCATTACGCCTCAAAATTAATCGTCTTGTCGCCCTAGTCTAGAAAAAATCTGATCGGAACGGGGAAGGGAGCATAACTCTATTTTTCATCAATTAATAATTTCCTCAATCGAATTTTCGAAAAAAAATATTAAAAAATTAAAAATCGAGACTGCAATCTTTGTTTTTAAAGGAATAAACTCTTACCTCTCTAAATTATTATTCTTTTTTTCTTCTTCCAAAAATTTTAATTTTGTAAAGCATTTAATAACAATTCCGTGTGGGTCAGCAGCTTCCCATTGAATTTCTGTTAAATTAACAGGTAATGAGATTGGAATATTTGGATGAACTAGAGGAATATTTAATGGACGAATATTAAAATAAGGATCATTATCTGTTATTTGAGGCCTGAAAAATAAAAATTATTTTTTTAGAAAATTTAAACATTGTTTATCTTTGATAATTAAAAAAAGTAAGAATTAATTGAAGAACCGAAGATCGAAAAATTCTCAGTTCTATGTACTACTCGGTTCGGTTTCCGAATTGACAGCTCTAATTTTTAGTATTCATTTTTTCCTTTATACTTTGTTTTATTTCAAAGTGATTTTTTAGAGATCGGCATTTTCAAAAATTCTGGATCTGGATTTAGGTTAGTACCCAGGACAGGATTCTGGATCTGGAAAAATCCAGACTGGATACAGATCAAGATCTCTATGATATTTTATTTATTTTTAGTTTTAATTTTCAGCCTAACTGATTTTTTAAAGTATTAATTTGGAAAATAGAACCGAACATTAACCGTAGATTTTAAAATTAATTGAGGATTGTGAAACCCGATTGAGTAAAAATATTTTTTTTTAATTTTTGCCAAAATTTTATTTTTTTCAATAACAAACCAAACAATCGAAATAGGTTCAGTTAATCCATTTCCAATTTTTCTAACTTTCAAGAAAGGTTCACATTTAATTTTAATTAATTGTTTATCAATACATTCAGGTAATTCCTCATTATCTAATTTTCCCTCTTCATTTAAATTATTTTTATTTAAATTATTTCGAATAAATAATTCATTTGGCAATAAATAATTACAAAAATCAACAGAACAACAACCAATACATTTTTCAATGCCTAAGTGATTTGTTTGACAACTTTGTCTAACACTTATGTTTTCCTTTAAAAATTAAAAAAAATATTTGAATTTTAATAGTGATTTAATAGCTTAACTAATAGTTAATTACTTTAATATAAATAAATACGCCTCACTATAATATACAATTTTTTGGCCCAAGGGAGTATGTATATTATCGGATATCCGAACCGGAAATTTTCGGTTCGGATATGGGATCCGGATATCCGAAGATTTCCAACTATTCGCCAGCCATACTCCCAAGAGGTTCATCTATGCATTTAAATTCTTCTAAATAAACTTCTAAATAAGATAACCCCAATTATAAAAAATATTTATTTCCGGCCCTCAAGGGAATATCTCTAACTAAAGTCTAAAATTTAATTTACTTCAAATATCCCACAATCAATTTGTTTATCAGAACATCCTCTAAAAACTTCAAAAGGAGGTTGTCCAGTTCCATTAGAAAATGTTTGTACAGAACATAATTGATTTAATAAACATTTATTTGTTTTTGTTAATGTTGGATTTGTTAAACAATTAATGTCTGATTTTGATAAACATGAATGGCACCAAATACTTTCTATAAATTAATTTAAATAAATTATTTTTATGTTTGTCCGATTAAAAAATTTAAAGTGGATAAAACTTAAATTTAGGCGAATATTGAGAGTTATCTAAACCACTGATTGACCCAAAGTTTTAGGATAAAAGTAGAGGATTGAGGGTTCTCATAACCGAATAAAACCCAGACCTGCGTTAAATTCGATTCGCATTTTGTGTGAGAAATTAACTTAGTTAACCCCTAACATGTAATCAAAATTTACTAAGCAAAAATGTCGAGAAATCGGACGAATTGAATATTCGATCGAATAATTTCGAATACTTAAAATTCTATTTTTGCATATTTCCGATCTCTAGTATAAACAGTAATTCCCCAGAAAAATCCACTCTTTCCTTTTCCCTCCACTCAAAATTTAATTTTAAAAATAAAATTTAATTTAAATTACCATTTTTTGTACATTCTCCTAAATTATTTAAATGAAGCCCAAAAGGACATTTAATAATATTTTCACTTTTATTTCTTTTAATTTTTGTATCTAAATTTATATAGCCCCCTTTAAAATTAAAATTTTCTTAAAATTTTATTTTTAAAAGAAGAAAACCTTTAACACAAATTTTTGTTAAATTTTTATTAATTAAATAATTTGGTTGTGAACAAACAAAAGTAATTTTATCACCAACCAAAACTTTATTTTTATTTGGTATTAATATTGAAGAAGATATGTTAAATAAACAATAAGAATTGTTAATATTTTTGTTTTCTATAAAGAGATTTTTAAAATAATTTAATTGGTACGAACCAAGCTCGTCTCTCCCCCTTACCTTTTTTAAAGTATTAAAATGGACAGACTTTAGGGCGATAAGTACCAGATCTGCTTTTTAAACCTAAGGTCAGGTATTATGCGTCTACCATAGCTGGTTGAATAAAGCTTTCTATTCACATAAAAACGTATGGGAATAGAGTATATCTTTTGTAAATAGAAGTGGAAGAACCTATGCCAACCTTTGCATGGGTTCTAATTCTGAAGCTGGTCAAAGTTGAGGAAGGAGGTAAATCTACCCATTTTTAATACTTTGTTGAAGGAAAAAGGGAGGGCACGAAATTGGATTTTAACTTTAAAAATACCTTTAGAGGAACATAAAGTTTTAATTTTCTCAAAAATATTTTCTTCACTCCATTCTCCATTATTTAAACAATTAATTAAATTATTTGGTTTTTCAATTAAAAAAGAAGAATTTTCATTTTTACAATAAATTGTTATATTTGTTCCAATTAAAAATAAAGGATTGGAGATTTTTAAAAAATAATTATTTAATTGATATTTTGTTGTTGAGATTATTGGACACCGTTTTCCTTTAATTTTAATTAATTTAAAAATTTAATAAAAATAATCCTACGAATGCAAGAATGTCCAGAAATTAGTGATTTTGTTGAAGGAATTAACTAAAAAATATTTTTGAATAGAGTCAGACCTAATTATAAGATATCCTTAATATTAGAGAGGTTGTCAATTTCAAACCGCCCAGACTGAAAAACCAAAAGATTCGGTTTGGGTGAATCGAAAAAATTTGGTGAAATCAACACAGAAATACACCTCTATTTAAGAGACATTTTTTAAATTTGGTTTGCCATCATATGCAATACTCTCTTAAGATACACCTCATTAAAAAGTATGATTTTTCTGCTCCTAAGGGTGTGTCTTATAGTGAGGTTTGTTAAATAAATATTTTTTACTATATTTTTTGCCAATTCTTTTGTATAAAGTAAATGTGTATCAGGACATTCACATTTATAAGAAATAGTTAAAGAATTATTTGATTGATATTTTCCACTAGAACAAAGTGCTAATCCTTTAGAAGATTCATCTTTAAAATAAAATTTTTATTATGTATAATAAATTATTTGTTCACAAAAATTAATATGTATAAAATTGAGGTAATAAGCAAAAATGAAATAAAAAAAAACTAAATTCCTGCGATTCCCACTCTGATCGCTATAGAAAACCTTAAGAAAGCGAAAAATTTAGGAAGTCGATTGCTAATTCATTTGCAGTAGTTGTCTCATGTAAGCTGGTAGCTTTTTTAATTCTCTGATTTATGTTTCTTATGGCAAGAATTGATAACTTTAACCCCAATTATTCTCACAATCAAATACCTCTATTTATCACCTAGTAATATTGCTAATCAAGCAATGAAGGCTTTCAATTTTTTAACCAAAAATTATAGGAAAAAATTTTCCCCGATTTGGTAGGTCTTTTTCTCATTCATAAAATCAACTCCCCAATAATTTTTAAAATATTCCTTCATAAATTTACCTTTAATTATTTGTCCGCAAATATTTAGATCAACATAATCCCAAACAGGTATTTTTGTATTTTTATTCAAAATACATTGAGGAATTCTTTTAGTTAAATTAAATCCTTCTTGGCATTTAATTTGTGCAAAAGAAAATAATGGAGTCCAAACTTTTGTAAAATTTCCAAAATTTAAATAAAAAGGTGGACAACCATTTACTTAAAAAATTAATTTGATAACTTATTTTATTTTATTTTAATTTTTAACATAATTTTTAAATTTTATAATTGCAAAGCTAAAGATTTATTAGCTTTTAAATAATTAATTTATTTTAAGGGAAATTGTCAAAAACATCCTTAAATTTGTAAATTCGAATAACCTAAACTCTTTGTTTTTTTTTCTCATTCATAAAATCAACTACCCAATAATTTTTAAAATATACACTAGAATCTCGAAATAACGACACCTCTTTGGTGAATTTAACTGACGCTGGAAATACTGTGATACAGGATTGGATATATCCCCTCTTACCCTTATACCCCTCCTTATCTCCTTATATGCCTTTATGATTTTAGTGTATTTAATAAAAACTAATTATTTTAATTAATTAATTTAAAACCCCCACAAAGACAAGCTAAATTAACATCTTCTGTCCATTCCCCATTTTCCGCACAAATAGCAAAATTCCTGTTTCCTCGAGGAATTGTCCCTTCTGGACAAACATAAAAAGCAATACTTCCAAATGAATTTTTGTTAGTTTTTCGATCAAGTTGTGGGGATATAAAAAATTCTGGAGAATATTTTTGTTTGGAGAATGAAGCATTTAATGGAGGTTCTGAACAGATTATTTCTGAAAAATAAAAAAAAATTTTTTTTCTAATCATTTCGCAATAAAACCTTAAGACCTAAGAAAAAATAATTAAATAATCAGACAGTCATTTTTCGTCACATTTTTTTATTTTTTTTTATTTTTCTTATCAAAAACACGCGAAATAATTTAGAGAATCTTCTGATTTGTAATTAAAATTTTTTGCTTATTTAATTAGCTAGTAGTAATTAATAAAAATTTATTTTTATGCATCGGATTTCGTCCTTTTAAATATACCTTCAATATTATATAAACTCTCTATTCACGTGTTTTAAGAGGTATTTGACCACTAAATGGGAAAGTTGCCTAAGCGATATCTCCTATATAAGATATACATACTAGAGATCAAGCTAGGCCTGAACCAAGGCCTGGGTTTTCCTGTACCCAGAGTCCATGCCCAAGCATTTTTTGACCTTCCTGGGTTTCTCCCGGACTATAAGCCCAGGATCCGGCCCAGGTCAATAAATCAAACCCAGAGTCCAGGAAAAGGTTCAGGCTTTTCAAAAATCTCGATCTCTAATACATACCTTATTAAAAGTTATTCTTTTTAAGCCCCATTGGGTACCAAAAATTATTTTTTCTGTAATATTGTGTATTATTTTTTAAAATAAAACCGGTGCACAAAAACTAAAATCTAATAATTTTTTAAACTTGTGTTCGCTAATTTATGTAGCTATTTATTTTTTAATCTAATTAATTATTTATTTTTTGAAAAATCTATTTGCGCATATTTATTTATCTTTAATGCCAATCTTCAAAGGAACAATTCTACCCCGCAAAAAACAAAAGAAGAATAGCAATGCTTCATTGCGTACGGAAAAATAATTTAAATAAAAGAAAAATATTTTTGGGAAGAATATCGTCATTTAAATAATTATTTTTAGTTTTAAAAATAAAAATTATTTTTGTTTTTAATATTTATTAATAATATTGTTTTTAATATTTTTTTCAGAATTTATTTTTACTCTCTCTCTCTCTTTAGTAAGCCCCTGCTATTAGTTATTGGAAGTTTATTCAGTTAACCCCAATAAATAAATTTTAAGTAAACCAGTACGGATTTAAATCAGAATCTGAAGAACCAAATATCAAGTCTTAGCAAGGATCATGATACTATGGCATAAACGTTCAGCATTAAACAACCCGCATTTTTATTAAAAAAACCCCTTCACCATCAAGTTCCCCATTGAGTTCCCTCATTCATTTTTGGTTCTTAATTTATTTAAATATTCCTTCTACTACCATCAAAAATTTTTTTAAACATTAGTTCACTAATTATATAATTTCTGAGACTATAATAGAGGGTTTAGAATACCAAATAAGTACCTATACTTAAATATTTAAAAATTATGCCATTATTTTCTCACACACTTAAAAATAGTCTAAACACATAATAACAGTTTAAAAATGAACGGAAATAATATTTCAAATAAAAATAAATGGTTGTGTGTTTGTTCTGTTCCTTTACATTTCCCTTATTTTTTGAAGGCTTTTCTTATGCAAAAATAATTGGATAAAGCAAAGATTGTTTTTTCTAATTTAAATATATGTACCTCTATTTTCACACTAAGACTTGGTGGAATGAGTGGAATGTAGCCATTTTTAGCCGTGTCCGATAGTCTCGTTAGAGGTCCTTTTAGTCAGTAAGGCTCTTTTTTTTAATCTAATAACACGGCGGTATTGTGGTTTTTAACGGATATCAGTTAAACAGCTTCCCCCTCCCGCCTCCTTCTCCCCTATACATAACTAAATCTTAAATGGAGGTATATTTAAATTATTGGGGGTTAGCAAAAAAATAATGCCCTATAGTATTTAAATTACAGTTAGCGGAATATTCATTTTTATAAGTTAAGCAGCTTGCAAACCCCCCCCCCCTCCCCTATACATAACCAAATCTTGAATAGAGATATATTTATTTTTGGAGGTTACCCAAAAATAAGGAGGCCCTCTAGCATTTAAATTATAATTAGCTTAAGTTTTTTTGTTTGAAATTTTTGATGACATAATTAAAATTCTTATCTTAAAATTATGAAACTATAAAATTTAATATTGTCTCTTATCATTCTACATATATTTAATTAATTTTAATTTTTATTCATTTCTTTTAAATAATTATATTCTTGTATGTATGTCCCCATTTTTTCCAAAAAATTCTTTTTCCTTTACTTACAAGATATTATTTCCTTATAAAAAATTTCCTTATGAATTCCCCAATTCATTTTGAATTTTTTATAAGTTTCTTTATATGTACATGAAATTCGAGTAAGGAAGGAAATAATTTATTCAAAAAATATATAGGTAAGTAAAATTAGTTGGCTATACATATATGTAGTTATTTGTTGCACTAAACCCCAAATAATTGAAAAACTTTTATTTCATTGGAAAATCTTAAGCGTACTCATACCTTGTGCTCATTTTTATTTTTTCTGATGATCCTCGATGCTTATTAGTCCCCCCTCCCCCCATGTTTATTTTAATGGTTTGTTCACAGTTGGTTTCTTATGATTAGTCACTTTAATATTGTTGGGTATAAGGATAGTTTGAGGAACCTAATCAACCCCAAAGACTATAAGTCCCTAGCAAAATTATATGATAGGGACGTACTAGGAAAGGTTTCTTAAGATGGTCAGACCCTTTTTAATTAATTTTTCATTTAAAAAATATTTTTAGGTATTTTTAATTAAAAAAGCTTTCTTTCTTTCTCCTAATTTTAAAAAATCTTTCAACAAAAAAATTCCCAAGAAAAATGAGTAACAGCAGTGGATTTATTGATAATTTAAGTATTTCTGATAATGATAATCACTCAAATGGTTCCCCTATTCCTAAAGAAGAAAAAATTGCAGAGAGAATTGGAAAACAAAATATTGGATTGAAAGTAAAAATAAAAAGGGAAGGGATTTAAATTTGGATTTATTTAAAGGTTCCTTCACCAATACCTCCGGCAGCTATTGCACAGAGACCACAATTAAATGAAATGGTAGGGGAATAAATTGTTAAAATAATTAAAAATGTTTTTTAAAAAGTTTGGGGTAAAAATTAAAGTAGTGTAATATTAAAATAAGCGTGATACTTTTGAATAGATTGACTTAAAACAATAAAAATGGAGGATGAAAATTTAGGACAAATTTGGAACTTTTAAGACAAGAATACAAAAAATAATTAGGATTAGAGACCTGACCTGAGGATTGAGGAATGATCGAGATGCAAGATCTATATCTTTAAAAAATTTCAACCTCATACCTAGGCAGTTTCACTAAATTCTTTGGTTAAACCGAAACTGAACCGAAATTATCGGTTCATACTACTCATATCCAGTCTGAACGGAATCCCGTCTCGGCCCGGAAAATAATAAAAATAAAATTAATTTTTAGGTAAAAGCCTATGAACAAATAATAAGTCATGTAGGTGAAGATATTAACAGACAAGGTTTACAAAAAACACCGTTTCGTGCTGCTAAAGCAATGCTTTACTTTACTAAAGGATATGAAGAAAATTTTGATGGTAAAAGAAATAAAAATATTTTCGGAAAAAAATATTTTAATTTTTATTAGATGTTTTAAATGAAGCTGTTTTTGATGAAGATACCGATGAAATGGTGAATTAAATAATTATTATTCTGTCTAAACCTCACTATAAGTTATAATAAATACATTCAGTTTAGTATAGGTATTTTAAAATTGGTTTCTACTAGGTGGGGTCTAGCCAATCAGGACTCTGAATGTGACCATGTTTCGGTCCGAGAATTCTGTTCAACCTCATTATAAGTTATACCTTCAATTTAAGCTATGAGAGAATCCCTGGTAATATTGAAGTTTACAGACCCCCCCCCCTCCCTTTTTTTTCCTCCCCAAATTTTTTATTAGAATGTACATAATGATAAGACTTTCCTTCCTTTCTTCCCAAATTCTCTTTTCTGCTATTTGGGGAAAATCGGTAAAATTGAAGAAAAAAACTTGGTGAGGAAACAAAAGGGGTCTGCAAACTTAACTATTACCCTCATTATAGGTTACAATTCTTTCACTCTTAAAGGGATATCTAAAAATGAGGCGATTTAAAATAAAAATAATTTTTAAGGTAATTGTTCGCGATATAGAAATGTTTTCTTTATGTGAACACCATTTAGTTCCTTTTCTTGGGAAAGTACATATTGGCTATTTACCAAATAAAAAAGTACTTGGATTAAGTAAATTAGCTCGATTAGTTGAAATGTTTAGTAGAAGATTACAAGGTATTTTTGAATTAAATAAATACAGACAGACTTTGCTATGTGATTAGATACCTAAATTTCTATTTAGGATACCTTTTTTGGAAGGCTACTAAGTGGGTGACATGTCTAAGCAATACCCCCCCCCCATTTAAGGAACACTTCCTTATAAGGGACACTTTTTTCAGTTAAAAAGGTCTTACAGGGATGGGCTGGGTTGAGAAAAAAGTCGGGTTGGATTTTCAAAAAAATTTTTCGGATCGGGTTTGGGGTCTAAAAATTTCTTGTTTTGATTTTCGGATAACCCTGCCCAATCCTGGTATCTTATACTGAAGTATGACTGTATTTTCTCTAAAAATATATTTCTTTAAATAAATTTATTTAATTCAAAAGTACAAGAAAGATTAACAAAACAAATAGCCGCAGCTGTTTTGCAAGCTGTACATCCGTCGGGGGTTGGTGTTGTTATTGAAGCTAGGTATAGAATTTTTTGTAATAAATTTAATTAATTAATTTAAAGCCATATGTGTATGGTTATGAGGGGAGTCCAAAAAATAAATGCAACAACAACAACTTCTTGTATGTTGGGAGTTTTTAGGTAATAAATAAATAATTAAATTTAAAAAATAATTTTTAAGAGATGATCCAAAAACTAGAGAAGAATTTTTAACATTAATTAAAAAATAATGAAGTGAAATTTAAAGAAAAATAAAAGAAAATTTTAAAGGAATTAAAAGATTTTGTATTAAAAAGTACTAAATTATAATTTTGTTTGTATAAAAATAAAAGAAAAAAATTTATTTAAAAAATATTTTTTTAAGATTTAATAAATCATTTTATCTTATACTAACATATCTCCTCTATTTTAAATAAAAAATAAAATGTAAACCCGGATCTCGAAATATGTATAGACTCCCATGATGAATAACGATAGGTCAATTCCTGGAAAACCACAATTCCCGACACATAACCCCAATCAGGGATGAGCGCATTGCGTCCTGTATTATTTGCGTTAAAATTTGGCCTTGCGTTTTATGTTGTTTTTTGGACTTGCGTGCATTTTTCACGATTGCCTCTTGCACTCACCCCTGCCCCCGAATTAGAGTTTGAATTAGCACGCGCAGTTTAACTATTTTAGTATATTAAAAAATTTAAGGGCAGAAAAATTATATAATTTTTATATTTTTTGAATCCTTCATAATTTAATTTTTAAATTAAAAATTACTTACCTTTACATTTCGGCAAAGGTTCCCAATTACCATTAAGCAAACAATACGAAGTAATTAAATTATTATTTTTATTTTCCAATGGTCTATATCTTTAAATAATATTTTGAATTTTTAATTTAATTTTTTATTTACCCTAATTGACAGCCAAAACGTAAAAATCCTTTAGACCGATTTAATTCAACAATAAATCCGTTGTGTACTATCGGCACAATACAAGATATATTATTGTGTTTATTAACTAAAATTAATTATTTAAGAATTTTTTCATTTGGAATTAGTAAAATAGTAAATACAGTTTAAATTCCGGTAATCCTTGAGGATAAAAATTTCGTACGTAAAACTAAGGATTACATAAATCTGTGTAATTCTGAAAGGATTGCTTAGGCATCCCTCTAATGGCCAACTAAATAATCGCAAATATACGTATGTACAATAGAGGGTGTATGTAAATTTGGGTGTAAACTATTAGGGATGGGACAGGTTTAGAAGTAAGTCGGGTTGGGTTTTAAAATTTTCTACGAATCGGATTTCAGCAAGAAAAGTCTAGGTCTTGGGCCGGCGTTCGAATAACCCGACCTGGTGATGTTTATACATCTGAGATCTCTTTATAAAAAAATTATTTTTAAATTTTACATTCTCCTTCCTCCTCCTCAGAAAAACATCCATTAAATATTTTATTTTCCTCATTTCCATCAAAATATTTCCATTTCCCATTTTCAGAACAAATTAAAGTTCCTCTATTTTTATTACAAACATGTTCAAATAACTTTCTGTATGGAAATAATTTTTGTTGATTTTTTGGAATTTTTTGGTTTTTTGGTAATAAACAATCTGGAAATTATTTTAAAAATTGTTTTTTATTTAATTTCTATCAAACCAATTGAATAATTAATTTTTAAATTAAATTTTGGTGAAGTTGAGTGAATTTGTATTTGTGTAGATGAATAATTGGAACGGAATAGAAAAGGCAATTTTAAGCTAATAATTAAAATAAATTAAAAAAAAATATTTTACTTGAAAGTTTATAGTCGGATCTCACTATAAGATACCCCCTAAGAGTTGAAAAATCTGTCTCTTATAATGAGGGGTCTATTAAATAGAGGGTATGTTATATTAAATAGAAGGTGTCGATTAAGCCTTCCCTGCCCAATATCTCGCCCAAATTTTCAAAAAACGTCTGTTAAATAGAGGTGTCGCTAATATTGAGTGTATCTTATAATGAGGCTTGATTTTATTTACTTTGTTGATTTATTTATTGAAGTAATATTGCCATCATTTGTTTTGAACTAAAAAAACTTTTCAAAAAAATTTTTTGAGTTTAAAAACCAAAATTTCATCATCATCTGTAGCAGCCAAAGAATCCACAAAAATATTAAAAGGACATAAATTTTCTTTTTTGCAAGGAATATTAATTTGCCAAGAACAATTAATAGGATTTTTTATTAAATTATTTTCTTCTGGTATTTCTAAATATCCATAATTTCCAAAATTAATTTGTTGATTTAAACAACCTTTTAAATGAATATTAATTAATTAAATACTCCCAAAATATTAAAAATATGCATATCAGGGGTGGGCTTATATCTCGTCTCTCGTTTTATCTTGTTCTCGTAGTTTTTTGAGAATCTCGTATCTCGTAAATCTCTTGTCTCATATTTTGTGGGATTCGGCCCACTTCTGATGCATACAGGGAGCTTGCCAAAATAAAATATAAAGTCCCGACTTAGGGAATCGGGATTCCAGATCCAAAAATTGTTAGGGATTCCCTTTTTCAGGAAGTTCGGAATTTTTGTTGGCTTTTTACGTAGTGAAAGCCTGAATCTTAGCTTCGTATTAAATTCAGTATAAAAATATATATAAAGAAATATATCCAAGGAAATATCTAAATAACAACAGGGTTTAAATAGATTAAATCAATATTGAAATTTATTTTTTTGGAAACCCCAATTTAATAATTATATTTACTTCTTTCAAAATTAATTTTAAATCCTTTTCCTCCAAATAAATTATTATTTGAATTAAAAATAAAATGAATTTCTGAAAATGTTGATAAGAATCCAAAAGAATAATTTATATAATTTGAAGTTAAATTTTTGTAAATTATTTGTTGATTATTCCCAATTAATTTAATTAAAAGCCAATCATTCAAAATTAATTGATTTAAAAGTAACTTTAATTTAAATTTTAAATTAATTAAAATAATTAAATATACTTTAATAAACACAATTCCATTCTTTTTATTATTTATGATCCAATGACATTTAATTGGTGTTTTGTAATATCCGTTATTATCTGGAATGGCTAAGGGTGGAGAAAATGTTCCATTCTTTTAAAATTAAATTTTTAGTGAATTTTTTTATTATATATTATTTTTTTAAATCAATTTTAAAATATATTTAATTATAAATACCCAAGATTCGAATGTTCTTTCACATACTGATGCTTCTATAAAATAAATTTATTTTAAATTTATTTAAAATAATTTATTAAATTCTCTGCTAACGTTAAACTTTTAGATACCTCCTTAAATTTCAAAAAAAATTTTCTTCTGTTAATGAGTGTATCTTAAATAGAGAAAAGTATCACCCTCCCACCCTGTGGCTATTCAAACCTAAAAACCGCCTATCTTAAATTTAAATGTAGCTAGAGTTAAGTAATATTTAATAAAGAGGGTTGACTATATTTAAACAAAAATCATTATTGTTGATTTTGTTTAATATTTTTCGATGGAATTTCAGTCCGAAAAAGACTCAGTGCTCGATTCGATAAAATGAGGCCCGAAAATAAAGACACGAATATCGGCCCGATTCGAAAACCCCAACCCTAATTTTAATTTATTTTTTTCTCTTAATTTAAATAAATTCTTTTAAGACCTTACCATCAACAAAATATTGCAAATAAAAATAGCTGTCATTAATTAAATCACCAATAATATATTTTTCAAAAATAATAATTAATTTATTTTCATCGATTAAATAATTTGAAGTATTTAAATTGTTGTTAATATTTATTTCTTTATTATTTCCCAATTTTAATTTTAATTTATCAAAATAATTTAAATGGAGAGACAAAAACTTTAAATTTTAAAGAATAATTTTAATTTAAAGGAACAAACATTTAATTTAATTTTAGCCCCAAATTTATTTTTAATTAACCATTCATAACGAATTAATTGTTGATTAGGACAATTAATATTTATTAAATTTTGTTTTGATGATTTAATTAAAGGAAAATAAATATTTCCATATGGAGAACTAAAAAAACAAATTAAATAAATTTAAATAAAAATGTTTTCTTTTATTTTTTACAAATTTAATAATTTTTTAAAATTCAAAAGAAAAAAACTTTGGAGAAGAGAACTAAAAATCAGTTCTGAAATGACAACTTAATTTGCAAGGATTTTTGGCTAACAAAGAATTAAAATTAAAAATAAAGTTAAAAGTGGTAACTTTTCTAATAATGAGTTAAGGCTTTAAAGGGTGGAGGAGGGGATTATAAACCTTTTAGCAGCTTTTCATTACCTTATTTTTCTAATTGAACGACCTTTATGAGAACGAATTGAAAAGGTAATATTTGTTATTATCTGGATATCAGTTATACAGAGACAGCCGTTCAAATAGAGATCAGCAAATGGATAAAATATACATTGCTCAGCAGATGGATATTTTTGGTATCGGTACCGGGAGTATCGAAATTTTTTAAAATCCTTTCGGGACTGTTTTGGCATCGGGAGTAGGGTTGCCAAAATGGACCGACTCGGACCGAAAGATCGAGTCAGGTCTCGATGTTTGGCCCGAAAAAGTCTCGTACCGGCCCGACTCGATAAAGTTGGGCCCGAAAAAGACTCGTAACGGCCCGACTCGATAAAGTTAGGCCCGAAAGTGACTCGTACCGGCCCGACTCGATAAAAACAGGCCCGAAAAAAATTGTCTCGGAAAAAGTCGGCCCGACTCGAACACGACTCGATAATATTTTTACCAGATTTGTGGACAAAAATGGGAGAAATCTGGCTCCTTGGCATTCCAAAATTCGAAAAATTTTCGCCTGCGGCGCTGAAATGAAGAATTTTTAGCTCCATACTTTGCTTCACATCTCGAACTTACTGGCTTTAATCGATAAGCTGGATTACTGGGATTTATAGGATATATTCCGCGGGATCCCATCATCATTTGAACTTTTTAAACTCAATCAGTTTTGAGAGTCCACAATTTTCCGCAGTCCGCAATTTTAACTTTAAAATACGCAGTCGTAATCTTCAGTCCACAAGTCAAAAACACACAATCTTACGCAATCCGCAGTCCACCATCTGGGATATAAGGTGTAATCTTGGAATATAAGGCGGTTTGAGAGATTAAGTCAAGGGCGTATCCAGGGGGTCCAAAATTCTCAAAATTTTCGCCTGCGGCGCTAAAAATAGAAGAAATCTGGTTTCCTGACTTTCCAGTAAGCCCTTATCTAAATACGAATAGTTCAATCATGGTACACTGGGATTTTATTAAGGGATTTGGTTATTAACGCACAATATCACTTAAATCTTGCGTTATCCTTCAAATCTCCGATATCCATTCAAATCTCTTCAATCCTTTTAAATCCCATTACAATATAACACCTTGATTATCTGATATGCGATCCTGATCCCCTTAATCATCTGATCTCCTTTAATAAAACCAAATCTAGCAATATCTCACACCAATCCTCCGATAATTTAAATCACATTAATCCCTCAAATCCACTGATATCCATTTCAATTCTCTTCAGCCCTTCCTTTACCCTCCAGATCCATCGATATACCTTTTAATTCAC